AAGGGTGACCTCTTCCGAAGGGTAGGGCCATAATAGTAGATGACGTACACGGCAAGGACAAGGAGGGTGGCAATGCAGGCGAGAATGGTGCAAGCATAGTTGAGATGGCGACGACCTCCAATATCTGTGGGGTTGACGTTAGTTTCTGCATCTTCCACTAAGGCTACAGTCAACTTACTTGTGAAGAATGGGGTTGCCGGAATAGTAAGGACTCCTGCAAGAAAATCTCTTGACCAGCCATTACCACCGGTGGCAGACGCGGAGTATGGACCGTAGGCGCAGATCATATAGTCGATAGTAGCCATGTAAATGGCATAGTTGGCCAGACCTACTAGAGCGGCGAAGATCATGGAGCCGATCCAGTGAATTGGAGGTCCTTGAATTGTCCAAGCAAATCCAAACAAGCCAATCGGTAGGCAAGGGGCTGTCCAGAGTAACCACCAGAGCCGGGATTCATACTGAGCTTTCTCGTTGCCAGGCTTTGACTTCCTCTCGTTGATGTTGCGCTTAATGGCTGGAATGAACGAGATCCACGCGATAATGTACCCGATGCCCAGGGGCAGAAACGCCAGGCCAACGGCAAAAATCGCAAAGTTCCATTGCGCGTACACCAGGGAGAAAGACTGGATGAACATGAAGATGAGCGCGTCGCTAAAACCACTGAGAAGTGACAAGGTGAGAACGATGGGCTCTGTAAGGAACATCTTGAACGGCCGGATCCAGGTAATGAGGATTTCTCTCACTGAGAAGCGATCTCTGAATGGTTCAAGTTCGTTCGGGCCCCAGATGTTTTCACCGGTGGCTTTGCGCCGTCTCTTTGCAACTCGATCCATGATGATGGTCGAACGCGTCTCCGGGACGAAGAAATGGCACGCCTGAACAAAGCCGCCAAAAATGAGCTGGATCCAGATCGTCCACCTCCAGCTGCTGACATATTGTTCAACGAATCCACCAACGATGGGTCCAAGGACGGAACCAAAGACTGATGAGAAGACCACGTAAGCGACAGCGTATTGCTGGTTATCAGAATCCCACATATCGGCTGGTAAAGAGTCAGCGAGTGAAACAACAGGTTGGGCGTGCAAAACTAACCGATCATTCCTAGAGTCACTGAACCTCCAGCAGAACTGAGCCCGCCGAGGGCTCTTCCCACCATGATGGACGCGAAATTAGGGGCCAGGGCGACAGGTAGTTGCCAGATATTGACCAGAGTCAGTGACAGCTGAAGAATAGGCCAACGGCCAAGTTCCTCGCTCCACGGTGCCCACAACTCGCAACCAAACGCATACAGCACCAAGAATATCATGGCACCACATCGTGCGGCTTGCTCACTGACATTGTATTCTTCCGAAATGCCTTTGAGACCGTTGGAGTACAGGCTAGTGTTGAAATTCATGGACAGCTGAACCAGGAAAATGACGGTCAGGATTGTCCATTTCTTCCATTCGGGAAAGGCGTAACCAAGTTCGCTGTAGCAGTCCTCTTCGGTTATTTCGATCTTGTCAAACGTTTCTGGCTCGGGTTCGTCTTCAGTGTCCTTTTCGGCCTTCTGTTCAGCTAATGTGCTGCCGACGTGCTCCGCTTGTCGGCGGGCATCATCATCTGGCTGCACGGTAGATGCTTTCTCCCATTCTCCAGTTTCCTCTTTGGCGTTGGGTGAGGTTGCAGACTCTTCAAAGGGGATATTGAACTGCGGATGGCGGTCGCGGGCCGCCATAATGAATAAAAAAAATCCAACCAGTAGACTCTTGGTTACCTACTAACACATGAAAATGGAAGGATGAATACTTTGTCGCAATGTCACGTCAGCAGCTGCAAGGGAAAATCTGGGGGAACGGAGTGAGTATATACAACCCTGTGCCTCATGGATAGTCACGGGGCAATGCCACCACCAGGGCATCTCGGTCCTGAACAGTGAAAATGTAACGAGCTATGATATCAACAGTATCCATCTGCCAGCTTCGGAGTGGAGCCGGAGGATGGCGGTTCGAATGAAAACTCAGATCTCTGCATAATGACGAAGGCACAATCATGGTCAGCTTTCCAGAAATCCTAGACTAGTCAGGAGGGTGGGGAGGTTCGTCAAGGGAGAGGAGCGTTTCTTTTGCCATCCGCCCTGTGGTTTCATTCATTTGTGTCTCCCATGCTCTTTCCTGTCGTAGGATGAAGGCCATGTGCTCAACACGAGGCTAGAATGGCGGAAGTTAGAACGGAGATTGGAGGCGAAAATCCCTTTTACATTTTGTGTGGCGCGAGTGGGAAGGCTGGAGTAGGCTGCGCGACAGCATGATGGGACTCAGTGTCGATCTCTCTGTCCGCCGGTAAAGTCCATGATGGCGGCCGATGGTCATGATGGTGTTATTGGTGACCTCGCCGCTGAGATGACGTCGATGGCTGGCCGCTCAGGCACAGTCTCTGCTATCAGACGTCCAGCCGTTCAAAATAAGCAGTAAGCGGAGTTTGGGAAGAAACAAGTAGTGATCTGCTCGGCCATCGGCAATGATCTGTTTTCTTGGTGGACGCCAAGCTTTTTATAGTGGGCGCCACCGCGCCAATTGCGCAATGCGAGTCAGCTTCAATATGCGAGGCACACGGTAAAAAGCACTGCTACGGAATATCTCCAGCAGCCAGGGTTGACGAACCGCAATCATGATCATGTTAATTACAACCTCAGAAATCCCATGTTGTTTCTGTCACACGACCCCGCCTCAAACAGGGGTTACCATGGTAAAAACATATCGTCATCCACCAAAGGTGCAAGGCCTCCTCCTCGTGTGGCCGTTCGCCGAGATCGACATTCATTGTCCAAGCCTCACAAGCTTTCCCATAGGTAACTCGTGTTTATGTTAGTCCGTACTTTGTCCAGACTTGGTCTGCTTTCGAATCGTGTTGTGACATTGTAATCAATCGCGCCCACAATCCCAGCTTTTGGTACATGACCACCAACGCCGTTGCTAATCGCAAAACTCATGTCCAATTATCTCATGAATAGATTGGGAGCACTTTCTTCCCCGATCTTGATTCAAGGCTTCCTTGCCGCCCAGGTTCCCTCCTGGTAGCTCCGCGTTTTGCTTGCCCCGAATTCGCCGTTACGTTGCTAGCCTCTGAACCATCATCCTGAAAGACCTGCAGGGTGTTGATCGCCCAAAAAGCATCGGCAAAGTCTGCCGGGTTATTGGCGACGTAGTCTTCGCAGGTTGGTGCCAGAGATGCGCAAGAAGATGTGTTCCAGACAGCTCCAGCCCACTACAGAGAATTGAATTAGTGCGAGTGTCATGGGCCCAAAGGGACAAGCATTACTTACCTGTCCGCAGAATGTGGTGTCGAATACAATCTGGAGATTCTTGAAATGGTCGTCAATGTTGAATGATCCTTGGAACAGCGAGTTTGGGGTACCCCAGTTTTCGGACGGGGCCGGATGACTGCTGACAATGTCGTCGGGAAAAGTACCTCGTGGGAAGAACCATATCTTGATGAAATCAGCTGTCCACTCGGTTGCAAACACACCTCCCCCGGCTTCGTTGAATTCAGGCCCAAAGGTCAAGTTGGATATGTCGCCGATCGAACATCCCGCGTTCATTGGCTGGTCAGGCGCATTGACGTCGCAGTTGGGTGTGATCAATTCACCAGAGAATTCGGTGTCATTGCTGACCACGGCGCCTTGTCCGGTATGCAAAGTCATCGAGTTCGTAGGTTGATCATTGACTCCCTCGACGATGTCGATCTCTCCATTGTGTGGCCAGTCCGCACCCAGCATCCAAAACGCAGGCCAGGTACCGCAGACGCCACCAGGCATGTGAACAATATCGGCAATAACCAAAGCATGTTGAAAAGACTGTGTTGATGAGACGCGTACACTGGCCCGACCCTGCGGAGCGACATTTTCAGTGTCCACGCCCATATAGATGGCAAAAGATGCATTGCCTCCTTCTATAAATCCCGCTATCCCCGTTGAATTGGCCTGCTCCAAAGATTGGAATTGCACGAGGCCATCGGTCGGATCCGGGTCGGTGAAGAAGTCGAAGCCTTGCCAGAAAGCGTCGCCGGAGTAGTCTTGGACCAACTGGTACACGGCCAAGGTGGGTTTGAGAACAATGCTGACCAGCAGCATGACTAGGGAAACGCGCGCCATCCCGATGGCAACGTCTTACGATTGAAAAAGATTGTTTGTCGAAATGAAGGGTTCTTTGGTAGCTGAACTGGCAGCGGAAAGTGTGGGAAGGAAGTTTATAAGCCGTGAATCAATCAACGAGCGTTCAGTAAGAAGACGAGCAGGAAGGAAAGAAGACCAAGTTGGCAACGGATGGAGAATGAAGGAGAGGCTTGCAAACAGGACCTGTCAAGGCACGAAAGCGCAGTGAAAGAAGATCAATTGACACCGAGTGATATGAATTAAACATTCCCTGGAATGGCATTCACAATGGAAGGGGGGGCGGCTGGGAAACCTCCTTCATTTTTTTTTTACTGCCGGTACCTTTGGCCTTCGAGGAATGCTATAGTTGAGAATGTAGTCCCTCTGGAATCCAGCTTTCCGAGACTGGAATCTGCCAACCCGAAGACATTGACGGGGCTCTCTGGCCATTCTTAGTACTCGTACTCCAGCCCAAGTAGGGCGCCGTCAATGGTAGGTGATCGTTGGAGACAGAAGCTTTGTAGTTTCAATGCGTGTCATGTGTTGAGCCAGTCGAGATGGAAACCACCCGACAAGTGTGAAACGGAATCTCAGAGGGGTGAATGAGAGGTGAGGTGGTGAGCCTCATGATCTGGATGCCGTGTGAAACGCGTTTCGGCAATCTCTCTCCATCCCGCCGCATCGCGTCCACTGGCGGCAAAATCGTCTGGCAACTGTTGCTCCGCGCCCACATCCAACCGAATACCAAACATTTCTTTACTGAAACACCGTCCCAGCTTTTAAGGCTTGTTTCTCACTGCTCCGGCTCCGCTTTGGCCGTCGTGCAAGTTATGGCTGTCCTATTTCAGTCTTTCCTTTGGCCGCTATCATGACCACAGTGCCAGAGCCACAGCCCACTGCGCGTACAGCCAGAGCCAAACTCGATGCAGCGGCTCAACTTCCCATTGCCGACCTCTCTCCTTCGCGAAGAGATCCTGATGCTCACATTCTCGCACAGGTCGCTCTTGTATGGCCCTACTCTAGCTCAACAGGAACACTCGCCCTGCTGTTAGCCGACCCTGACATTCGCCGGCGGAAATCTAAAGGCCAGGCTAAGGTCGTATTCCACAATGGATGTGCAAGGGAGGTTGCAAAGACAAAAGTGGGAATTGGGGACACCGTCAAGCTTGCATTGGCCGGTTGTGAGTGGAAAGAGACTGGTGATGTTGTTTCGACACCGGGCAAGAAAATAGACTGGGATCTGGAATATAACACATGCGTCCTCCTGGAGGTGCTTCGGGGTGACCGAGACGTTACTACAGTGGATTTTACTGGAACAGAGGCAGATGTTCCAACTACGAATGGGGCTTCTATCAATATTGAGAGGGAAGATCACATCCGACCTAAGTTGAACGCTATACTTTCAGACTCCAGTACAATCCGCATTCCATACTTGACACCCAGAAAATCGAACGGCATCAATCCTACGGGAACCTTCATCGATGCTGCCTTGGAATCCTCAGTCGAGGACGACGGCTATGTGCTGGGCCGCGGTAGAAAGCGTACAAAATTCGCAAGAAACAGTGGAGCATGGAGTTTTGTTGATTTGGAGGCGGAAACACCGCTAGAAGAGAACAAGAACGGCGGCTTAGACGATGGGGATGCTGCAGAGGTCCAGCACTCCCAGAATGACGAGGTTGCACCAGCCGCAGAACCAGCTGCCGTTGGTGAGGTGAATCACATCGAAGCACAGACCGCTGTCGATGTCTCGAAAGAGGTCGTCCCCCAACCCACCACGGTTCAAGTAACCGAAGAGAACATGAGCGGTACCTCAAGCCCAGTTCGCTCTTCCGAATCGATATCTGTTTCTGGTGCGTCTCCTCCGCAGGTGATGGGTCCACCCCAAACACCACGCCGGGTGCCTCCACTCGTTCAGCCAGCGATGAATAGCATAGATGCTTTCGACAACAACGACGGCTCCGAGGCCGCGACAACACCACGGCTGTTGCCTATACCGTCTCCTGGTCTGCCCCTTGTTTCTCCGTTAGTTCATCGTGCAGGAGTCGAAATCGGCTATTTTCCGCCGGCATACACGATCATGTCACAATTAGACGCTTCGAGTGAGAAGGAAGAGGAGCAAGTTGTCCCAGTCACGAACACCGCAGACAATCACGATCATACATCACTACATTTCGATGAGCCTCCGGGTGACGTATCGGGTACGTTGGGGTCGGAGGATGCAGTCAAAGCCCACGAGGTTACAGGTGACGCGCTTGCAGACACGACGCTGGTGTCCCGAGATTCTCAGGAAGCGGCTGATGATCGGGAGAGCGCAAAGAAAGTTGTATATGAGGCACCCCAGTGGCTTTCGTCACTGGAATCTAGCATTGATCGCGAGCTCCTTCTTTCGCAAGATCAGCCAATTTCTCACACTGTGTCCCGGAACCCCTCTCGAGCCATCGAGGTCGAGGATGATGATCTCTATGGCGCTCCCGTTGATACGCAAAGAACAAACCCTTCACTTGCGGCCTCGCCCCCAGCTGAATACCCCAGGAGTCCGCTGGATGTTCTTGAACGATTTCTTCAGATTTCTCCGACAGCCGCTGTGGGCTTTTCACCCCCTCTCAGGCTAGATGGCTGGCAAAATACACAAAACACGTCTATACCGCAGGATGCGGCGGAAGGTGTAGCTGAAGAAATTCCGCAGGATGGGACTGCGGTATCAACCACCTCAAACCAATCCCCTGGAACTTATCCTGAATCACAATCACCATTCAGGCACAATCGGCACCATCTGGCAAGTCCTATCGATTCTACCCGTCCCCATCCGGGTCAAGCCTCACGCACGCAGTCGCTCGACGGACATTCAGACGAGCAAGAGAGCTTCAAAGAATACATCGACCACCTTGCGCAATTTTCCGCCAATTCGCAGGCTTTAGAGCAGCCGGTGCCTGACCCTGAACCCTCTCATGATGAGATGCAGAATGAGACGCAGGTGGAAGCTGATGTATCCGTGACAACCATCATGGTTGATGTGAATACTCATGTTGAAACTTTGGAACATGTCACGGAAGAGTCCAAGCATGTGACAGATCACTCAGGGGCAACTAATGTCGTTAAGGAAGAATCTCAACAATTAATTTCTGCTGTAGGAGACAAGGAGACGGGCTTTGAGTCTGTTCTATTGTCACATGTCCACATACACGACCCTCGTGGACAGCTACCAACACCGGACCAGTCCCAGGTGCAGCGTTCCTCGACTGAGCCGGAAACGCCGACTCCAGTTCAGGAGTCGATCGAAGTTGGATTCCCATCACCCCAACATACTCAAGAGGAGATAGACGGGGATTCGGAAGAACCTGTGCTCGCCATACGAAAGGAGAAGAGTCAAGTTGTACGGGAAGATCCACAGCCTATAGAGGTTGTACGAAGCGAAGCGAGTCTGGCTGCGCAAGAGGAAAGAGCTGGTGCTCAGCAAGAAGACTCTTTGCAAGAACTTCAGAAGGAATCGCCCATCCAAGAGCCGCCTCTCGAGCAACGTACCAGGGTAAGTAGTAGCCCTGCGTTCACGACGCCTATTCCCACATCGCATCAAGATACTGCCACACCTCGTCGAAGCTCTCAACGATTATCAGCAAGAAAGTCCATCATGGCAGAGATCTCATCTAGCCCGTATGTTAAGCCTGGCAAGTCCACCAAACAATCTGTATCATCACCACCCAGAAAGGAGAACATCAATCCCGCTGAAGCCGACGGCGCTCTCCTTCCATCAACAAAGCTTGGCCAGGTTGAAGCACCTCTTCTATCAGTTGGACTTCAAGAGGCCAAAAAGGCTACCCATGATATGAAGTCTGTGTCCAGGCCTCTCAGGACAAATGGTTTGGTCTACAGCGAAGATTCAGGCATTACCACCCCATTTTCTTACTTCACCCCCTTACGCTCGTTGAATGAACAATTTGGTCAACTAGTCGATGTTATTGCGGTATGTGCAGACTCTTCGTCAGAACCCGAACAATCGAAAGCAGGACGGAAGGACTATCACACTATCCTGCAACTCTCGGATCCTTCGCTTCCCTCTGAGACACCCTCGGTCATATCTGCTCAAGTCTTTCGACCTGTTCGGACAGCGCTTCCCACGGTCCACTCCGGCGATGTTGTCATTTTGAGGAACTTCAAGGTTCAGACTTTTCACAGACAATTCAGACTTGTGAGTAATGACACATCTTCGTGGGCAGTGTTTGGAGCCAGGTACGACTCGGCAATGGCTTGGCCAGAGGTAGTTGTCTCTGGCCCTCCTCTCGAGTACGGAGACAGTGAGACAAGCCGAGTCAAGCTATTGTTTGACTGGTGGAATGAGAGTGGAAAGGAATTGTTCGGTATCGAGCCTACGATAACAGGACAAGCAAAGCATCAAGAGGTCAAAAACAGCTCTTCCAACCCTCGCAGTCCACTTAGGGCCCGAGATCTACCCCCACCCAGTCGTAAAGTCCCCCCATCAACCCGACGTCGAAACGCCAATCCGAGCGACATTTTCTCCGAAGGACGCGAGGTTCTCGAAGCTCCAGGGTCCTCGACCGTAGGAACTGAAGCGCGCGATCACAACAAGATTGACAATAGCACAGACAAGAACGAGGTCTCCCCGGAACAAGTGAGCACAACTGACAGCCTTCACCATGACAGCGAAACCATCAGTGCCCCTGTAAAGCCATTGAATCGTCGAAGGGCCAATGAGACGGACAATCTGGGAAACGAGGGAGATGGGGATGTGACCATGGTTGGGGATGACTGGGATCAGAGTATTCCTCTTGCTGACAAAACCAACCGACGCAGAGGATCGACCATTTCCACCGCACCTTCAGAGCCCGGAACATCGTTCACTCCACGGCGAAGTGCAAGACTCAGGAAGTCACCCAGCCTCGTGCATGAATTGAGAGACGGAACGAAGTATGTGGATGACAACCGAAGGAGGAGCGCCAGTGTTGTGCACGAGTTGAGGGACGGGGCAAAGTATGTGGATGAATAGGGTCCTACCCTTGGTTAGTAATGCGACGTCAACGATTCATTCAAAAGTTTTGACTTGGAAAGTTGATGGTCTTCTGCAAAGCAGCGTTGTGGTTGAGAATTGTCGATGGTGTCGCCCTTACGGCTACCTTAGGCCCATACATAATTCTTTTCACAGTCTCATTGAGGAATATGATACGCTATTCATGTACACCCTTTCTTACTGTATCTGCTTCGCAAAGTCCCGACATTTCCCCAAGCTCTCACAAGAAAGTCAACCCCAGGGCAGAGATCACGCTCAGACCGACGACCGTCCATCCCGTCCATATGACCTGCTGGTTCGTGATCGCCGCGCCCGTGTCCCACACCAAATGTCTGATGCCGTTCAAACCGTGGAACGTGAACGGGAACGCTACGAAGGCCTTCAACGCGACCTTGAGGACGATGGGCAGGGTAGCAAAACTGGCAGCCAGACTGGCCGACTCCAGGTGCCAGCCGAACAGCGGGGCGACGAGGTAGGCGGCGCCGAAGACGTAGATTCCTCCGGACAGCGTAGCACCCGTGATGCGGTTCAGGGCACTTAGGTACCAGGTGACTTGAGGGCGGTAGATTGCGAGGTGCGGGGAGACGGGGCGGTGGAGGCGCTGGTTGGCGAGGATTTCTTGACCGCTGGCTTGGGATACTGTTTGTGTTGTTGCTGGTCTGGGTGATAATGAAGGAGAAGAAGGGAAAAGTCAGTAACCGTATTTCAGTATAGCATCGGGGATTCCGGAGGTGTAGAATGTAGAATCTGGATGAAGCCGGCAAATGTTTTGTCCAACCACCTCTTTCTTTCCCAGGCGTGGTGAATCCGTGACGATTTTGGTGAGAGGGTACTGACCTGTACTGGATATTCTGTAGGGTCGCTATGGCTGCCGGAGCAGATAATCTGGGCAGAGCAGTGGAGGGGTGGGTTGCGGCCACTGTCAATCCAGCGCAGAAGTCAGTTGCCTTTGAATACCACATCGCGTCGGGGGTGTGAGGAAGGTTACTTACGTCGCCGAGTCGTCAACTGCAGAGCCCTGCGGGAGAACATGTTGACCGACATGGCTGCTGCTGCTGTGGTCGGTGGTGGGAGCGTGCTTTGTCTGTTTGTCTGTCGATTGAAGCTCCAAGTTTCACTGGCATGATGTCGATCCGCTTTCCGAGGCAATCGCTTGGCATATCACGTGTTGAGGGCTGGATTATGTTTGTCGTAGCTTTGATTGGTTGCGGCTGATCAGCGGCTTTGGAGACTTGCACACTGGCTTACGAAAGTACCTTGTACCACTCGTAGGGAGTTTTCGATTGCTTGAAAATTTTCCACGCGGTGCTTGACAGAAACAAGGAATTATCTGCATTGAGGCATGCAGAATGAGACTGCATGCGGTGCACTTGCTCGGGCGTCTATGAAAGAGAATGTGACATCCGGAACAGGAAATCACGGTATCCAAGGACAAACAAACAAGGTGACAATGGGTGCGCGCTCCTCAGATTGTTTTATCGATCATGAATGCATTCAAGTGGCATTTATGTGGCATATGAATTGTTCGTCCATGGTATGGACATGCGGCCAAACTTGCGTTCCTCTATCTATATGAGAAAGGACGACAGCTCCGGCATGGATTGAGGTAGACATGCCGTTGTCGTTGCTCACCTTCGACAAGGTACAGAGTGCAATACTTCTGGGCGGCATTATGACAAACCATCCGTAGGTTTTTGTGATTGAAGAGACCAAGTCGTCGTCTTGTGAACGAGCACCCTTGCTGTGTGTCGACTTGTGATCCCAAGCAAGATGAAGAACCCCGTCAGAGGGTATTGCGCGAACTACAGGTAATGTTCGTCGATCGTCTGGAGGAGTGGTGGGTTGATTGGATTTGGCTGCCACGATGCACAACCAGATGAGAAAACTCTCAACAGGCTGTCTGTTCTTGTCAGGTATGCCGATCTGTGAAGGCTTCGCTGTGATTTCTGTGAGAGGAGGACGCTGAGGTTCGCGACGCGTTGGCGACCTTGACGGACAACGCAGTGCATCTGATCATGTCGCACCCGCGCTTTTCTCACTTTTCATCTCATTCGACTTTGTTTCTATCCAGTGTCGTGGCTGTCATCCTTGCATGAGTACAGTCCTTGTTGACCTGGCATCACATCCTGTTATGCATCATGTCCTTAACATCGTCTCCCCCACCTCCCCTAACACCGCCGGACGATGATGACACCGCGCTCTCAGCCCCTTCTGCCTCTTTCGTCAGCCTCAAGTACGCTCCAAGTCAAAAGTGCATCTGCGCCAACCGAGCCGAGTCGGAGCTGGCTACCTCGCTTTGTCCCCAACACGGATACCACGACTCCAAAAGCAAGATAGTCATACAGAAGAACTCATATGGCGTCGGCGACGCACAGAAGAGAGGAAGAGACACACAAGACCGTCATGACAATAGCGCACAAGGGAGAGTGAGGAAAAGAAAGAACACTCCAGAATTCCGCCCTCAACGCTCTCGAACTCCATTATACTCTCGATATCCGCTTGGTACAAACAATGCTGGGATGGGCGCCGTAGGGGCTTTCACCGCAGAGCTTGGGCTCATGAACGACAATCTGCATCGAATGTTAACCCACCCCAGCGCTTCTGATGAGCATATCCATTCGGTCCAATTCTCTGAGCGGCTACCACTGAAGCAAATCGACTTTCTCGAATGGCCACTCGAAGCACGGAAGCTCATTTACCGCTTCTTGCTCGTCCCGGCCAAAAGATCAGTCATTTTTCCAGACAAAGACAGCAATGACACATTCCGCCAGCTGAACCCAGATCTTAACGCGAGGATCCTCCAGACCAACAGTCAAGTGTACCGCGAAGCCCGGACTATTCTGTATGGCGAGAACACCTTCGTCGGGGCAGAGCCAAGTGATTTTTTCTTTCCCACCAGCATTCAAGGCCTTCGAGCAAGCACAGCGGCGAGGATCAAGCATCTCTCGTTCGTCCGGAAAGGCACTGGTCCGACGCTATGTGACATTGACAGCAATGTTCTGTCGACGTCCATCCTTTCGCTCATTCAACAATGTCCGGCATTCCTCTTGCTCAAAACCCTCACAATCCGATTCGAAGTAATCCGGCCTCTGACTGTAAATATGTTCAATTTACAAGTGCAGTATGCCAACAACGGAATCGGCAGCAATATCAAGTCAGCGTACAACAAGACTGAAGTGGCCACGAAGGCTGCCGCAAAGGTGGCGTATAGGGCGTTGAGAAAGAAATCACCATTCCAAGGGTTGAAAGAGGTTGCAAATCGTTTCGAGAGTGTCTGGGATCCCAGCAAAGATGGAGCCATCAAACATGTGATCGAGATGTGTTTGTTTAGAACCGAGGAACCGAGGGTGGAGTACCAGGAGCACAGCCAAATGCTGCGTGAAGCGATCTTGGACATGTTGTTTGAGGAGAAGGAGCGCGACGTGGACGGGGCTGATATGAGGTTCCAGAACTTTATGAAACTGTGCCCTGAGTGAAACTGGGTGAGAACGTTCTGTTCGAAGTTCAGGACGGGAACAGGACCAAGACGTGCACGGCTGACTGGTTGTTGGAAAGGGCCAGGCAAACAACGTGTACTTGACGCACAGTGCTGACGCGGTCTGTAAGTTGCCGACGGAGATGGAGACGTGCAACAAACGAGCATGACACTAAGGGAAAGAGAATTGCTCTTTTGGGCTAGTATATGCCTAGTACCTTAGGTAGTATTAGTAGTCACTAGTCACAGTAGGACACGTGAGTTGACACTGAATGAAACGGATGAATTGACAAATGTGCATCTATGGTCCACCCTAGCAGCTACGGAGGCGCACTGGTCCCGCTCTAGCACTTTCTGTGATAAATTTCAGATTTCACTTCCACCACCATTTTCTTTTCTCTTTCTTTTTTCCTTCTCCATGGACTTCAGCTTGGCGGCTCACATTCGCGGCACTCACGCCCCGTTGCTTTCGAAGTGGTTTTCATCATAATGAATACGAAGTCCCAGAAGGATGAGGAACGTAATCGTTTTCTCAAGACCTGCCGTTAATCGCCCGGTTGTTCTCTCAATGAATTTGCTCGGGTTTCATATTCAAGGTTACATTTCTTCCTCTCTCTCTCTCTCTTCTCCCTAAAGATCTTGTCTCTATAGGCAGCTATAGATATGTCGACGTAACTTCCTATCTCTCATACACTCGGAGTTTTACCTATCTGCCTGAGTGGTGGGACAGGTTGGGTGCTTGGTTGGTTGTGCGCAAAATGAACTCTGAGATTTATTTCCAGACATTCTATCCTTCTACGTGCCTTTTATGTCTAAATTTCACTCCTCAATTCATCTCTTCCTTGCCAAGCCATAACCAAGACCTCTCACCACCGTGATCATGTCACTTTCTGGACAGGTGAGCTTTCACATCAATGGTGACCACTCCGGTCGGCCATTGCGCTTTGAGATCAGATGATCCGACGTTGGCTCTTCCGCCCCCCCCGTGCGTCCCCCTATTGACCAGTCGAGTTAGCCTGCCACTCTCCTAGCCGAAGCCTTGCCGAGCTTTCATCGCTGAATGCTTGTATGAGTCTAATTAGCGAGCATCGCCGGTTCTCGACCTCTATCCCGACCTGCAACACGAGAATGCCAAGACACCAAGGGTTCCCTGCCTTGCGCCTCCTGCACTAATACCTGGGGGCCGGCGAAGAATATAGGGCGGAGGCGTGAGGCTACCTGACTGATATCGGATCGAGACCGGTCTTCTTCGTATCCAAGACAAAGCTTATTGGCACAACAGTGGACAAACGTGCGTGAGGAAGGTTTTGGACCTTTCGTTTTCCAGCTGAAGTCCTGGGGACTGTGCAGGATTTGGTCAGAACAGGCGATGGCTACAGCCCATCCATCCCACCGACAACCACCATGTCTACTTGTAGCTCTAGTGATGGCGGCAACCGGCACAATTAGCTCGTCCCTGGTTCAGTCTCAGCCGCAGCGAGCAAAATATATCAACTGCGCAGCC